TAAGTGGTCCCGCTCGGCATCCCTGACTCTGCTGTCGCAGGCTCCAGACCCCGAGCCTGTCAGACTGCACAAGCGAAGCAGGGTCGGGGGGGTCATCCGTGAGACGGGCCCCTGCCAAGGAAGAGACGGGTGCTGCAGGGAAGCGGGGCAGATGAGATTACTTGTTCCTGAGTCAGCGCTGAACCAGGGTGGTTACCAGGGGCTCTGTGACGTGAGAGGTGTCATCTCTCAGAGGGGAAAAAATAACCAGCCTGCTTGTGGCTGTTAAAATTTTCCCAGCTGGGGTATGAACTCGGCTAATCCCGAGGAAGGTCGTTGCATTCTGCCCACTTGCTCCGGTGTCCTTCATTGCCCATCCCGTTGCTGCGCGCTGTTAAGCAGCGGCTGTGTCCCACCCCAGAGCTGGCCGCATATCAGTGGCAGGGGAAGGTCTGCATGCCCAGTACTGAAGGGATGGAGACCACTGTGTCTATAATCTTTCGCTGGCTAGGAGCAGCCCTGCCCCACACAGACAAGATCCTGGATGGTGTCAACTTTTTTTCCTTTCCCCTCCCACCCCATTTCTTTGCTTAGAAAAACCATGTTTACAAAAAGACCCTTCAAGCCTTAATCTACCCCATCTCCTCCACGACCCCCCACAACTTCGAGGTGTGGACCGCCACCACCCCCACGTACTGCTACGAGTGCGAGGGGCTGCTGTGGGGCATCGCCCGGCAGGGCATGCGCTGTACGGAGTGCGGGGTGAAGTGCCATGAGAAGTGCCAAGACCTGCTGAACGCAGACTGCCTACAGAGTAAGGGGCGCAGCCTCTCTCTTCCCTTGGCTTCTAAGGATATTGGGGTGGGGAGGGTTGTCAAGAGACCCTAAGTGATTTAGGAGTACAAATCCTAAGCCTTCTGCATGCCTTCGATGTCTTACAGACCCCCATGCAGGGGGCCAGAGGGTGGCAGGGGGGGTCTTACGTACCCCTGTTAAGTCTTTAATGCTAGCATGGAATGAATGCTTGGGAGGGGGCCACCCCTATGCAAGTGCCCCCCAAAGGCAGTCTGTCCCAGAATCTCCCCTCTCAATCGCCCCCAGGAGCGGCCGAGAAGAGCTCCAAGCACGGGGCGGAGGACCGGACCCAGAACATCATCATGGTGCTGAAGGACCGCATGAAGATCCGGGAGCGGAACAAGCCCGAGATCTTCGAGCTGATCCAAGAGATCTTCGCCGTCTCGAAAGCCACCCACACCCAGCAGATGAAAGCCGTGAAGCAGAGCGTGCTGGATGGCACCTCCAAGTGGTCGGCCAAGATCAGCATCACAGGTAGGGGCAGGGCCAGGCCGACGTGCCCTGCCAGCTCTGGGCATGCACCCCTGAGCGAACACTGATAGAGGGGGAGGGGAGTAGAACCTGCGGCCCCCTGGAGATCTCTGGAGATCCCCATCCCACCATGATGGAGTTGGAGCTGGCACCGGTCAGCGCCACATCATGGGGACCCCATGCCACCCTCTGAACTCCAGGCCAGGCACTCTCAGCTCTATTGCTGCAGAGCTTACCGCTCCCAGCATGCTGTGCATTGCCTTGATCCACTCGAAATTGGCTAAGGACAGAGCATTGCATGCTGGGACCTGAAGCCCGCATGGGCGGCAGCTCCCTGTTAATGAGGCTCTCGACTCCCAGGGCTCTGTGTGCAGATCTCTGGAGCCGAGCTTTGTCCCCTGCTGTGGATCTCGCAGCAGGCTAGGTCAGGTCCCTCGTGCATCGAGGGGTAGATATTCTTCTGCTGTCGTTAGCCCATTGCGGAGACGGTGCCAGGTGCAAGCCGCTGAGAGGAAATTAACCAGGCGCTTTCCTCCCTTTGGGAGCCCAGGAAACACATGTCTCCAGCACAGCTTTTGGCAAAAGGAAGCGAATTCCCATTAGAACCTGCACCAATCCAGCTGGATGCCTGGATCCAGCCCTTGCAATGGATCCCAAGCCAAGTCGGGCTCCTCTTTCAAGCTCTGGCTGATTTGAAAATCGCTTGTTGCCCGATTGTTCTGTATCTGCCATTGATTCCTGTTTTTATCTGTTCTCTCTGTTGTGTGTGTATTGTGTCTCTGTGGGGCTGGCTGGTGTGTGGTGCCGTGTGTGTGCATATAAACATTTGTGCCTCTGTGCGCATGGGGTGTGTGTTGTGTTCTAGTTGTCTGTGCCCAGGGCCTGCAGGCAAAGGATAAGACAGGCTCCAGTGACCCGTATGTTACTGTCCAGGTTGGAAAGACGAAAAAAAGGACTAAAACGATCTATGGAAATCTAAACCCGGTCTGGGAGGAGAATTTCCATTTGTAAGTTACATCCTACTCCCTGCCCCACCTCTCTAGTCCCCAGGGCTGCCTGGATCGCGCGGGGCCACGTGTTCCTTCTTCTCAGTCACCCAGGCCTGCAGAACGCATTGATTTGCGTTCACACTGCACAATGACAGGACTTGGACCAAGTCACAGCGGGTTTTGGGCTCCGTCCTCGGACCTGGGCCCAGAGCGCTTGCTGACCTGAGTCAAACTGATTTGTGTGCGGCCCGAAGGGGGGCGTGGGCTGAAACCAGAGTCAGAGCAGGGGGGTTAGCGTGCTGTGTAGACATACCGACTTCTGGTGTGCACTGGGCTCACTATATCTGGGATGGATTTTCTCTGGGGGTCAGTTGCTTCTGGTTGTTTCCAAGCCCTGGTCAGGAATTTGGAGGGGACAGCCTCTCCCCCAGGACAGTACAGCACTGGAGGCATTGGCCGGCCTGTGGCTTTAGGTCCTGAATGCTTGATCTTCCCACCCTTCCTGCAGGAGACCCTTGTGTCACCCGAGCGTTGTGCTAGCGCTCTCTGCCGGACGCCCAAGGAGGCTGAATTCCAGCTCTCCTGGCTCAGGATTGAAATTGGACGGTTCACCCCTATATAGAAAGCCTGCACAAGGTCCACGCACCACTTAAGTCCCACTTAAGCCCGGTGCATGGGCCTTGTGGGAATTAAAAAGTGCATCAGCACGCCAGCACTTTCTGTCCACGGTGGGGAATTGCAGGCTCGGGGGATGCTGGTCTGGGGGCAGTTACCCACCCCCAGCACTCCCAGGAGCCTTTTGCGATAGGACTGCAAGGGTCTGAGGGAGCTCCCAGTTGAATGGCTGGGTTTTGCTGGGGGATGGGCGGGTGGTTCTTTGCTAGGAATGCCCCCTTCCTGGAGGCTAACCTGGTTCATGTCATTGCTCTGGGAATTTCTCTGTCCTCCCCCCACCCCAGCGAATGCCATAACTCCTCCGATCGGATCAAGGTGCGGGTCTGGGACGAGGACGACGATATCAAGTCCCGCGTCAAGCAGCGCTTTAAGAGAGAATCCGATGACTTTCTGGGCCAGACGATCATAGAGGTCCGGACACTGAGCGGGGAGATGGATGTCTGGTACAACCTAGGTAATTCCCAGCACAGTCAATATACAACTGTAGGGCCCGCTCCAGCCCCCGCGGCAGTCAGTGACCCGCTCCCGTTGACTCCACTGGCTCTGTGGTATGTAGCGATTTCCGTGCAAACAAGGTTGAAAAGCTTTTCAGAGTGTGGTCGCTATTTATCATTTACACGGCTGGTGTGTCATTGTATTGTATTTATTTGTTACTGCATCATTGGACAGAGGCCACAGGGCTGGCAGGGACCTCCTGGGCCCCGGAGTCCATCCCTGCTAGCTCAGGCAGCTCCGGCTGATAATCCTGCTCCATCCTCACCCCAGCTAGATCGTTCGTCCCCAAAGCTCCTCCGCCTCTCGCCTCTGACGGTTAGAAACCTGCGTCTCCTTCCCAGCCTGCGTTGGTCCCCGGGCGGATTCATCCCTGTTCGTTCTTGTGCCAGCGTGTCCTTTCGTTTCTCTCCCTCCCCGGCGTCCCCCGCACTCCCACGTATGTGTCGTGAGCAATCTGATCCCCTCCCAGCCTTTATTCTGCCGGGCTATACAAGGCAGGTTCTCGTCTCCTGCGTTCCCCTGATCACCTTAGGAGCCCTTCTCAGCACCTGCTCCATCCTTCTTCAACTGGGTGCAGGAGTCCAGACAAGATGAAATGCATTGTTGTTTGTGTTCTGATACCACCTACAGGCACTGTACGTACACACAGCAGGAGATAGTCCTCACCCCGGAGAGCCACAGCTGAATAGACCCAGGGAATAGCATTAGCCCCTTTTACAAACAGGACCCAGGTCATAGCCGGGAATTGAACCTAGCCTGCCTATGTGCCAGGCCCGGGCAGTACCCCCATCACGGAGTGTGGCGGGAGACCAGGCCCTGCACCCCCGGTTTCCTGCGATTCACCATGACTCTCAGCCAGCCAGTAAAGCACAAGGTTTATTTAGATGACAGGAACACAGTCCAAGACAGGTCTTGCAGGTACAGACAACAGGACCCCCTCAGATTGGTCTATCTAGGGGCCCCAGGGACACCACAGCCCCATTGGGGGGGGGGCAGAGCCCCGTCTGGGCTCCCTCCATTACCAGCCAGCTCCTGAAACCTCCCACTCCCTCCAGCGCCTCTCACCCAGCCTCCCCCGGCTCCTCCCCCAGCCTTTGTCCAGTTTCCCGGGCAGAGGTGTCACCTGGCCTCCAACCTCCTTCCTGGGTTCTCACGTTACATGCTCAGGTATCTTCCCTCAAGGCCAGTCTCCCATCCCCCAATGCAGACAGTCCCAGCAAAAAAACCCCTGCCACCTTCCCAGGCCAACATTCCCCACTCGGCGTTCAAAGACCACATTAAGAACAGTCCCACTTCGTCACGTCCCCCAGGCCAGCGTTTCCCGCTGCCTTTTGCTGTTGTAAAGGGCCGTCAGTGAGCTAACGCTTGCTCTACTTCCTGCTCTCCTGTCGTCAGACAAGCGGACGGACAAGTCGGCCGTGTCCGGAGCCATCCGGCTGCACATCAGCGTGGAGATCAAGGGAGAGGAGAAGGTGGCACCGTACCATGTGCAATACACCTGCCTGCACGAGGTGAGCCGTGCCCCAGGGCCTCGCTGTTCCCACCCCGCCCTGCTGCCTTTTATCGTCAGAACGCTGGTTTTAAAATGTCTAAAGTTTCAAGGGAATTTGAAGGGCCTGGTCTGGGAGACCCAGAGAGCGAAGGGCTCCCGTCCTCGCCAGAGCGGGCACACCAGGGGCACTGATTCTGCCGCCCACTGCCCCATGCCAGCGTGCCTCACCCGGGACTCGGAGGGACCGTGTAGGGAGCTCAGTCTCCATGGCTAGTGGATCTGGCTTCCCAGGGCATCTGTTTATATCGCCCCCCGGTGCCAATCAGGCAGTGTTCTTGCAGTCACTTCCCCTGGTGCAGATGCTTACCAGGGCGCCAGAGAACTGAGCTCTCCATTCGCCCCATCCGCTCAGCGGTGCTGGGCCTCGGATACACACAGCAGCGTTATAATCCCTCCCCAGACTCTCTCGCACTGATTCGCACCAAGCGGTGACCCTGAGGGCTCTCTTCTGTCCCGTGCCTTAGAACCTCTTCCACTTCGTGACGGACATACAGAACAATGGGGTGGTGAAGATCCCCGAGGCCAAGGGGGACGACGCCTGGAAGGTGTACTTCGACGAGACGG